TGTGTGTGTGTGTGTATGTACAAATCTGATAGTGATAGTGATCTGCCTATCAAAGTGATGCAGGAAAGGAATGGAGTTATGGGACAGAAGGTAAAGAAGAGGGGGAAGAAAATAGAGGAGAGAAAGAGATGAGGCCAGAAAAGCCATTAAACAGAAAATCAATCAACAGAAAGAGAGAGAGAAATGCAGAGAGAGTAAGATCTTAAAGAAAGACACAGCGAGACAGAGAAGGATAAAGAAGGAATCCTCAGATGACTGCGATATTGATGACAGCACAGTGGGGGAGAGGGGATGAACGGATGGGAGAGAGGGAGGCAGGATAAGGAGGCTAAGAACGAGTGATTAAAGCACCCCAGGCCATGAAAGAGAAGGAGTAAGGGAGAGTAAGATGGGGAGAGTCAGGAAGGGGAGGGGGTTGATGAGGAAGAAGAGTGGGAGGGTTATAGGCAAGGATGAATAAGGGAGAGAGAACTAGAGATAACAGAGGGATTGAGGAGGAGAAAGGAATGAGACAAGAGGAGAGCAGGAGATGTGCAGTTTCGATAAAAAAAAATAAAATAACTTGATGCAGAAATGGGAAGAGGAGGGTGTAGCAAATCAGTAAGGAAGAAAAGAGAAGTGGTGCTAAAACAATGAGAGAGAGAGATGGAAAGGCAAAAAAGGGCAACACTAGCTCACTGATGTGATAAGAAATGAAGGCAACATGGCCAACACTACCTCTCTCTTTTTCTTCCTCTCACACACATACAAAGTCACACTCAAACTAACACTTTTAGTGCCTTCCTCCACACACACTTTCCCTCCTCCTGTGGGTCAATGCACTGGGGCATGTGCATGAGTTCAGCCTCCCCAGGTTGCCATCTGAAATAAAAGCAGAGAACAGAACACAGTAGAACAGTGCAGCCAGATAAGAAAGCACTCACTTACCTATAGATTAACTCGAGTTGGCCCTCATCATGAAATAGCAGAATGATCTGAAAGAAGATTTTTTTCCCCCTATCTAAACTTGTTTTCTAAATGTTTTGCACGTAAGATCTCAGACAAAGCAGTATTTGGAGGTGTTATGCATCTTTTAGAAGAAAAACACTACTTACCAAAGATTATAATGAAACTGAGAAATTAAGCCTCTGTTCTTGGCATTTTTGCCTTTTTCTACAGAGCTACTCATACAGTGGGGAAAAAAGTTACATGGTATTTGTCACCTTAGTGTCGGGTGTTGATTTATAGTGGGATTTACAGTAGTAGCAAATGATTTGAATTAAGGTCTCAATATCAATGTCTAACTTTGAGAACAAACCCAATGTGAGGTGCAGACCGCTATGAGCGTCTTGTCTAATGTAGCTGCTGTTAGATATTATTAGCTACATGTAAATCTATGTACAATGGATGGAGGTATGCATCGGCAGATGTATATATAGACTTTCTAACCAAGAATAGCAAAAAACAATATTTTAAAGTTTTAATTTGCTCCTCAAACTGGGATAATTTGGGATAGCCCTAATCAGTCATCTTGTAATGATTTTATAATCAATCATATTCATTCTGTGTCTCATTTTCAAGCAAATCCTATTCATGCTTTGGATGTGGCTGCAGTGACCTCAGTGCTCTTAAGTTGTCATCCACAGATTCTTTTAAATGCTTATTGGATTTTAAGATTTCTGCAATAAGCTGTTCAGACTTGTAGGTAATGAAATTCCATTCTTCAGCTGGAAGGTCATTTATTCAATACACTATCCTTGCAAGCAAGCAAGCTACAGTATGTTTGAATCATTACAGAAAAAAAACAGTATGAAATAGCTCAACAATGGTGATTCTGCCTTTGTTTTAATGGTTACCAGAAAAAGAAGGCAGACACACTAATATTTCATACTGTCACACAGATGGCCAATCATGATTGATGACGAAGGTGCGAGTGGTATTCAAAATTAGCAGGTGCAATCAGTGGTGCCTATAGGTTTCTGGACTTCACACCCTTCCCCTGTGAACACGCAACAAATGTCACTTTTTATTAGGGCAGCTGCTCTGAAGCGGTCGCTGCACAGCCCTGTCGTTACAGAGCGACAAAACAGAATTATTGAGGATGCTAATTGCAATATGTGTCATCCAAAATGATCACACGGAGTCCTTACATGGATTTTGGTATTCAAGTCCACTTATTTTAAAACTAATGATAAAGATATATATATATAGATATATATCTGTTCTGTAGGTCACAGTAATAGATTTTGAGTGACAACAAGCCAGAACATGTCACGGCTGGAGGCCCTTAATGCTTCAAAATCATAATGTCAAATTCACCAAAGGTCCACTGCACATAAGAGCCCTGCTCACTTGTTTTTTATTTTTTATTTTACAAGTTTATTTTCTCTTTTTTAATAAGAGCCACACATCAGTGCACCTTGAGGCTATTCCACCTGTCTGTCAAGTGTCACTGGCACATCAATAAGCTGGAGGGCTGGAAGAGGGGTGGGTGTGTCTCTGTGTGTGTGTGTGTGTGTGTGTGTGTGTGTGTGTGCGCGTGCGTGCGTGTGTGTGTGCGCGCGCGTGTGTCCACCTGTGCTTGCGGACGTCCTGTTGTCATGATAAACCTGTGACAGCTGTCATCCTGCAAGCAGCACTCTCCCACAGTGCACACACACACACACACACACACACACACACACACACACACACACACACACACACACACACACACACACACATACAGACTACTGTATCATTTCTCTGCTGCAAATGTGATGGGGTCTCAGTAGGTCTTGTTTGGGGTGTTGGGTCATTTACACAAATCTCCTCAACTGTCTAGCTGTGGAATGACTGTCAGTGCCTGCACTGCCTGCCTGCCTGTCTGTCTGTCTGTCTGTCTGTCTGACTGATTTTGTTGCCTATATGAACCTGTTTAAATGAATTAATTATTAATGAAAAAATAATGCTCTTCTGTTTTTCATTTTCAATACATCAGCACCTGTAGTTTGGGACAATGCACATTTTGTCAGTAGCTTCACCACCATTCCTAATAAGACAAACATTATAAAAACGTGTGTATTGTTCCTAACTTCACACTCTGGTCTATTGAATCTATTGTTTCTATTCAATTCAAACCACTTATTTTGTTTCATCCTGTTTCTTGTTTCCTATCCGATGCCGTTTGTACCAACTGTTTGCCTATTTCAGTCCACTTTCTATATTTTTTGTTTCACACTATTTCTGTTTGCCTTTGTTTGTTCCTATCTATTTATGTTCCCGTGTTATCCTCTGTGTGTATTTCCTGTCTACTCAGTGCACTCTCTTCCGTCCGATTTCTAATATCTTTTCCTAATGTTTCTATTCATTTCTATTGGTTGTCGTGTTGATTGACGTGAGTCTTGGACCACAGTTATTCTCTTTACCCCTCCTGTGGGTGGAGTATGGCTTGGTCCCTACCTTATCGCTGTCATCTGTACATGCATCTCTTAAGGCTGCACTGCCTGGATGAGCCCAAAGGATGTGCATGTATACCTGACAGAGCCTGTCTACACTCTTATAAAGGATGTCTTTTTCAGCTTATCAGTGAGTGCAGTTTAAGGACAACACACATCTGGTGTTTCTCTGTCTTCTCTAAATACTGATGATATCATCAGGTGATGGGTTGTAGAGTAATATAAATCATGTGTCATCCCAAATTGCACTCACTGGTGAGTAGGAAAACACATGTCTGCTGTAAGAGTGTGTACATACAGTATTGCCTCTTTTATGTATAACTATAAATTATACAGATATAATTTATACCATGTTTACAGTTGGACTTGTACGCTCTCAGAAAAAAGGTTCAACATTGTATCTTTTGTCACTGGGGCAGTGGATCCTTGGCTGTGCTCAATTTGCTTTTCATAAATATTTTTCAAAATTAAGACAGGAATCTGTTTTCTAAATGATTTCTCTAGATTGGTTATGAAAACATTCACCTTTCCACACAGTATTATAGAAGTGACTTGAGCATAGCCCTCTTGGATAACTTGCCATACAATCAAAGTCCCAGTGATACACCAAGGTCCAATGTAACATGTTTTTTCTCCACGAGTGTATGTATAAATTATATGTGTATAATTTATGCCGTGTGCACAGCGCAATCCATGTGTCTTTATCTGTTATACAGTAATCAGTACTACTATCAATTATGATTAATACTTCCAATCAGATGTGATCAACAATCAGAGAAAATTTGGCAAATCTATCATCACATCTGGTCTATATGTTTTGAAACTAATTGATGATTAATTAATAGACTGACACTAAACCAGCCAATTGGGAAACATATGAATCTGAAGTTCCTTGGTGGCGATTGGAGGAGACGAGAGCGGAGCACTGTGATTGGAAAGGAAAGCTTACCTTGTTATTGGAGGAGAGGACAGCAGCTCTGAGTGTGACAGGAACTGCAGCCTAACCCATAAACCACACCCCTGATTCTAACTGGCAAAAGAAAAAGAGCGTAATTCTCCTAATTCTTGGCAGAGAACCAATAGTCCATAAACAAAGGGCTGTATATTACCATGCATATGCTATGTTTCATATCTACTTCATATCTGAAGTGCAATGTAACAATATGGTTTGCTCATATGACTTGACAGATTATGTGTCATGACAAAGTCATCCATTTCTAACATGCAAGCCACATAATAACATTAGGAGTTGAGATCAAAGAGTTTACCTGTCCCTTATCATTAAGGTAATTTTAAAAAATCACCTCACAGAGGGAGAGAGGTGGGGAGTTGGGCTGGCTGACCTTTAATCTACTTGAGTAGTTGAGAAATAATGTTAGGTCTATTGGGAATTAAATCACAATTTCTGATTTGGTCAATAAACTGATACATTTGTTAATTGACCCGGCCCTCCTCATATAGCTGAAAATCTAAATAATTAATCCAAAAAATAATTTTAATTTAATTTAAAAAAAGTCCGCCCCTCGGTCCCTCCTCCTCTCCCTAACCCAGGTTTTCTATTTGTCACTCTGATTTGATTGACAGCTGAGGACACATGTGGGGGCACTGTGAGGGGCGGCAGTGGGGTGGTGACCAGTCCCGGTTACCCCGGCAACTATGGTAACCAGGCCGACTGTACTTGGATCCTATTGGCCGAACCTGGAGACACCATCTCTGTCATCTTTACAGACTTCCAGACAGAGGAGAAGTATGACTACCTGGAAGTTGAGGGATCTGAACCACCAACCATTTGGTGAGTCACTTTATTAATTAAAGTATTCACTTCATTCATATGTGTGGATGCCACGGTCATTGTGCTGCTGAAAAATGTGATGACGTGGAAGTGGCAGAATGGTCCACTTATCTGTGCAAGATTTAGTATTTTATGTTTTAGAACAATGTCTGAATTGCAGCAGAGGGATGAGTAGTGGTTCAGTTTTAAATTGCAGAAGGATACGGTACATTACCAGGTGTAAGAGACATACAATTAGCCAGATGGTGAAAATGAAAAATATTTATATATCATACAACAAAATTCAGGGTAGGATATTGAGATTTAGACAGGGTGGCCTCAGTATTAAAAATTGTCTGCTTGAATATCTATTATTTCATGGCACAAATGCTGCTAGGTTAAAGACATATCTAAACAAATGCAGATTGATAGAGAATCATAGAACCCACTGTCTGTGGCAGGAAACAATGCGGTAAGCATTATTATAGGGAGGCGATAGAGCCCCACTGCACTTGGGGTGGTTGTGACATATGTGATTGTGGTCCTAATCCATACTTTGAAAAAAGGATTCAGTTGACATTTCTGACCTGGCATTTCTGCCAAGATGGTGTAGTCACATAACTTCTGAGTTTATGGAACAATTTAACCACACTTGGGGTACAGTTATAAAAAGTTAGAAGCGGTAATAAAAATAAGTTAGAACTCAAGTAAGAACAGGTAATAAAATGAAAACGTTATTACAGATATAAAGTACCGTTTTTATCTCTTGTTCGTGAAGTATAGAAATGTTTCCTAGGAAAAAAAAAAAAAAAAATCTTGAAGTCTGCAATTCGTGTGTATGTGGACTTATGTTCACGTGCAGTCCTTCTGCAGGGGCCTAGTATTTTCAGATGCATTAATTGATGTGTGCCATTTAGACTTTTAACAGCTCCATGATTTTCTGTAATTTCCTCGGTTGTTTTCAGATGGTTCACTCATAACAATATTTTATTGCTCTAGCTGCTTATTGATTGTTGCTAAATTAGGGTATTGATCAACCATTGCTGTTGCTGTAACCAATTTGAATCTAATCATGGTCAGGGAAATTAGTGTGTGTGCATGTGTAATTGATTTGGAAGTAATAATGTCCAGGCAACTGCTTCTAGGAAAGTGTTGGTGTGTCTATAGAGGTGCACACCATCCTGCTCACTCGTGTGTGTGTGTGTATGTGAATGTGGAGTTGCAATTATGTTAAAGAAGCACAGCAGGTAAATACTGCTACTCAACAACTGACAACTTCTCAGTAATATCTTTCGTTGGTAACTGTTTATACTCTGCTGGTCACATTTCTTCACATGCGCTTATTTACATTCTGTTAGCGGCTGCATGAAACTTATTTCCAGCATGCCACAGTAAAACAAAGGTTTAGTCTTTATTCTCATTTTGAAAATTTGTCAGAAAAGCCATATTTAATAATTCTTTGTAAAATAGTCATATGGTGTTATTATTCTACATGATCTAGACATACATTAAATGAAGGCAAATCAATATTAGGCATCAGACACATAGGAAGAACAGGAAAAACGGTAAAAAGACGACTTTTATTTTTGATTCATTTTATTTTACTTCTGTCTTGTGTTTGAGAATCAACAGTGCATTTGTAAATACAGTACAAGCTAACAAACAGGCAAAAAGTAAAGTAAGTTGATCATTAATAATCACCAGTAATATGTTTTGCCTGAAGACACAAAATTATATTTTCAAACAGAGCATTTCAATTTGTAACAAGTTGTAGGAAGCATAGAGTCGGGCCATTCAGAACATTTGTGTCAAGCTGTCATTTTGAACTTGGGGGCAAATACAAAACCTTACTGCTGTGAAAAATCACCTTCTTAGGAGTATTTACAGCCAGTATTTATTGCTCAGGGTTAGATTGTTGGCCTTTGGGGGATAATGTGGTGGCAACTGGTAGTGTGTGATTTAGTCTGACCGATGTCTTGGCTCGTGTAATGCATTGCTGTGTTGTTATTTACTTGCTGAATTAACTCTGGAGTTTCATACAGCATACTGAGGTCAGTCTGATGTTTCTGGGTCTTTTCCTACAGCCAGGCTGAAAATATGGCTGCTGTTTTGTACTGAGAGGAGAGCAGTGACATTCAGATGTACAGCCTGAAGCAGAACTTGCCCTGATGTTGTGAATAACTAAAGATGCTAAAGTGAGACTTTTTAAAGTCAGTGTTTTCTTCAAGATCATTGTTTTCTAACAACTTTAAACGTTTTTTGTATCCATCTTATTTTCCATGTTTGGAAGCACTCCGTGCTCACAAAGAGCTCATTCCTTTCAGTGAGGAATACGCAGTTAAAGAAGTAAATTTTAGAATGCACAAGACACCTAATTTATGTAACTTATTTTAATAGGTTCCCACCTGGGAAGAAAACAAAGCACTCCTGTGGGTAAGATTGTCTTGTTCATCAGAGATGTCAGAAAAAAAATAATGAAAAGACTTGTTTAAGATGATGCAATGCTCAGAGGTACATTGCTAAAAGCACAGCTCTTGCAGTGGATGTGCTACATTGCAAAAGTTGATCCATGGTTCCGCTGCTGTCAAACATTAGGATGAAACAACACTTGGCATACTATTAGCAAACGTGAACCTTTAAGAAGTGGATAAATTTTCTCTAGTTTGAAATATCCACTTTATTTTGAGGCATACTGATGATAGGGTCAGCATTTGGTATAAACAGCCTCATCCCATGGATTATTTCATTCTGTAAATGGTACAGGCTGCTGGTGGTGTTGTAATTGTCTGGAGACTATTTTATTGACATGAACTAGGCTGCACTAGACCCTGTAGTACAAATTTAGCATTGTTTAAATGCCGGAGTATACTCAAGGATTGTTGCGCTCCAGGTGCATCCCCTCATAGTCGCAGTATGCCTTTTTTTCAGTTGGATACTTCCATATCAGACAACATGCATCATCTCCAGATGGCTCCAGGGAAATGACAGTGATTTTAGTTTACTCCAGTGACCTAAAAAATCTCATATGTCAACACAGTACAGCACCTCTTGAATTAGGCAGAATATATGGAGTAAGCATAGACCAAGATCTCTGAGGTCTGTATACTCTGTGTTTAGTTACTGGTTAGTCATGGACATTAATAAGAAGACATTAATAAACTCACTTAAATGCAAAGGATTTTCAGCTATTCTCTGTTTCATATCCTAAATTAAATATGTAGCATTTTTGGCTGGTGGCCAGACAACATAGTAGTTTGAATTGGAAGTCAATATGACATCACTTCAGTAACTTGTCGTGAACCTTTTGGAGATTGGGAAGTTAGCCTGGTTTACATTTTCCTAACCCATCAGTTAGCCTTCATCATTGAAGCCATTTCCATTTGTAATAGCATGCAATGGGTTGTGTCTGTTCTCTGTGTACATACAGTAGCATCAGTTGATATTTGTCCTCTTTGTCCCCATGAAATCTCCTGAAGCTTGATATTGACAAAAAGTCACTCTGTAAACAAGAGTGTTTCCATCCACCTTCTCTGTAAACACCATTTATTTATTTGTCTTATCAGAATGCTGGTGATTATGAAAGGAAGAGACACATTGAAATTACATTAAAACTGTTGTTCAGGTAGCATACTAAATACTTTAATTTACTACTTTACGATATATATCTGCAATAAGCAGTTAGAGCTGTTTCCGACTTCCCTACTTCCTTACCAAAGAAGTTGATGTTATCACAGAGGAATGTGAAGCATGTTAAGAGACCACAGGGACATTCTTCTGAGGTGATCTTGACAACGAACTTAAAACCAAGGTGAATGGCATTAGCACTGTTAACACTTAGCAGGCGGTGTATCAGACCCAGCTGTTTCTATTAGGTAGGTATATGTTGTCAGTCATCTTTTGCTTCGTAAATGGTGCTTTTCAAGGCCAATTTGAGGTAGCACATGCACATTGAAAATCCTGGCCAAATGCGGTATACAAAACATGAGACTATTAAAACGCCTGATTGTTGCTGTGTTTGGAGCTCGTTCAGCAGTAATGGCAACAGTTTCTTAGGTTTCCTAGCTATTTAATGGGGCTGTTAGATGTATGTTGAATACTGTGCATCTGCTGAAATGCTTGCATCTGGAGTGGTTTCAATGTATTTTTTATTTATTTATTTATTTTTCATGTTGGATGCCACCGCCAGTTGGATGCCACCGCCTTTAGAGATAAGCCATTACTTTAATAGCTCGTTGTTACTCATAAAGTGTGCATTCAACTGGTGTGGTGCATTCATTTGCTTTTCATGATATACTGTTATATTTAACAATCAAAAAAATGGGGGACATAAATATTCAGAAGATTACCTGACCACTTGCACTGGGGGATGACTTGGCTAATAAGAGTGTCCCTGAGAAGTCCCAAGACTCATCATAACATAATTTCCCAACAGCGCAATAGTCTATGTGAAAGCGTGCAAATGGGATCTTTATTTACTGTGGGCACAATAAACTCCCATACACTCTGAAATCAAAGGGTGCTTGCCTTCATGAGCAATTCAAACACTAGAATATTCTAGTATGGGAGTATCAATTAACCTTCTTGGTAATATGAAGTATTTTCACAAATCTAAATTGCCTGAAAATCAACAAAAGATGGCCTTATACATTCTTCACCAAACACAGACTATGAGGAATATTAGTGTACAAAAATATATGAAAGGGCCTGTACACCTTAAATGACTTCACTGGCTGTTGCAAGATTTAAACCAATGACCCTTTTGTTGCAGAAGAGTCTAGGCCATCAGGCATGCTGCCTGATTCCATAGCAATTGCCTCACAATACAAAGTGCTAATATACTAATTTCCATTGGCAATTTGGAAAGAAGCTAATAGCTAAAATGCTAATTTCCAATGGCAATTAGCAGAGAAAGCTAATGGCTGATTTGCTAATATGTGCGTGTGTGGAAGAATTTGTTATGTGTTTATCAGTTGCTGCAGGGCTGACAACAGAAGTCTCACACACACCAACACACACGGACA